AGGCTGAGGTTGCAGTGAGCTGAGGCTGAGTCACTGCACTCCAGCGCATAGTAACATGCTGTTTAGGTTTGTAGCCTGGGAGCAATTGGCTATGCCATACAGATGAGGTATGTCCTTGGCTATCCCACCTAGGTTTCTGTATGTACATTGTATGATGCTCATGCCACAATGAAATCACCTATTTGACATATTTCCCAGAACCTATCCTCAACAGCAAGCAATACATGGCCGTACCAATAATTGGTCAGTCTATAGGAGGGGCAGAATGACATTCATTGTACCAACCTTTCTGTATATCAGAATGCAAAATGGCTGGGTGCAGTGGCTCACACCTGTAATCCCAGCACTTTGGGAGGCTGAGGAGGGTGGATTGAGGTGGGTCTGGAGGCCAAGAGTTCAAGACCAGTCTGGTCAACATGGCACAACCCCATCTCTACTAAAGATACAAAAGTTAGCCGGGCATGGGGCATGCCTGTAGTCCCAGCTAGTCAGGTGGCTGAGGCACAAGAATTGCTTGAACCCAGGAGGCTGAGGTTGCAGTGAGCTGAGGCTGAGCCACTGCAATCCAGCTTGGGTGATTGGGAGAGACTCTGTCTGGAAAAACTAAATAAATAAAGGAAAAAATAAAATAAAAATATTGGGGAGGGCAGGTGCAGTGGCCCACACCTGTAATCCCGACACCTTGGGAGGCCAAGGTAGGAGGATCACTTGAGACCAGGAGTTTGAGATCATCCTGGGAAACATAGGGAGATCTTGTCTGTATTTTTAAAAACATAAAATGAAAAAGAAACATCTGTGGGAAAGTGTTTTTAAAATCCATTGTTTGGAGCTCCCTCAGACAGGTGGCCTGATGTTTGCACTGATGACAACCCAGTCTCCTCCAGCTTGGGCTGCCCTCTGCACTCGGATCTGTGTCTGGGCCTGCTGGACATCCCTACTTGGATATAACATAGACTCCTTCCGTTGGTCCACAGACAGAACTCAGCCTGCTTGCTTCTCCTGGTTCTCTTTTGCTATTTCAAGTCTCCCTTGACTCCTCACTCCCTTTCACAGCCAAACTAGCACACAAGTGTATTTTTGCTCCATCAGTGGCTATGTCCTCACTGGCTCCCAACCCCTGCCCGGCTCTGTCTCTCACCAGGATGACCACAACACCCTACCTACTCTCTCTTTCTGCTTCTCCCATCCATTTGCCATGGCAATCAGAGGGCTTTTTTTGTAAAAACAAACAAACAAACAAACAAAAAAGCCTGACCACACCACTACCCTGCTTCTAGATCCTTCAATGCCTCCCCACTACCCTAGAACAAAGTCCAAATTCCTGAATGCGGCCTCCTACATCCTGAAAGCCTCTCTGGCCTCTGTCCCACTTTATGCCTGTCACAATGCCACTCCAAGTATTTGCAGTTCCTCAAATACCCCAGGGTTCCTCTTGCCACAGGGCCTTTGCACCTATCGTACCCCCAGCTCTGCCTGGACACCATGTGCCTGGTTAATGCACTTTTCAGGCTTCGCCTGGCTCCTCTGGGAAGATGCTAAAGTGCAAAGTAGTTATAAGTCAACAGTCTTTTAGCTGCTGATTATAGGTGTTTTTTTCCCTACCTCACTGTGACCATCCTGAGGGTGAGGACTGTGTCTGAATTGCATCTGTGTTCATAGTACCCAGCCCCAGGTCTGGCACCCATGGAAGAGATACTTGGGGAATGGTAGCTGGTTCTCTGGCCCTAGGAGCTTAAAAGTCAGGGCTCTGCCAGGCGCAGTGGCTCATGCCTGTAATCCCAGCACTTTGAGAGGCCAAGGCAGGCTGATCACCTGAGGTCAGGAGTTCGAGAACCAGCCTGACCAACATGGAGAAACCCGATCTCTACTAAAAATACAGAATTAGCCAGGCATGGTGGCGCATGTCTGTAATCCCAGCTACTCAGGAGGCTGAGACAGGAGAACCACTTGAACCAGGAGGTGGAGGTTGTGGTGAGCTGAGATTGCACCATTGCACTCCAGCCTGGGAAACAAGAATGAAACTCTGTCTCAAAAAAAAAAAATGTCAGGGCTCCAGTTCCCATTCGCTAAGGATTCTCTCTGCAGAGTTGGGCCTCAGTTTCCCTGTCTGAATAAGGGCTGAGAGCTTTAATCCAGGTGGGCAGGCCCAGTGTAGTCACTCCAGTTCCTGCAGTGCACCATTATGACCACCAGGTGTCACTGCTGGGCCACAGGGAGAACTCTGCAAGCTACACTAAGGGAGCTGGTAGGTGAAGTGAACATCAGAGCCCTCAGGGACCTTGCCAGCACTGAACCTCATTGCCACCTGTCCCCAACAGAGCTGTTCTCCTATCCCCCAAAGCCTCATGCAACCCCCAGCCCGGCAGGTCCCCTCCCAGGCAGGCAGTAAGCAGGGGCAGAAGTGCAGGTAGCAGAGGTGCAGGAAGGTGGGTAGGCAGGGGCCCTGCTACCTCTTGTGAGGGCCCACAGGGAATTCTGGGTTCAAGGTCTGGTCTACAGTGGTCAGGGCATCTTGCTGGGGTTCTCATGAAGGGATGGGACTGTCCAATCTCCCCCACTCCACCTAGGCTGGGTGGGAAATGTGTCCCCAGACCCACGGCCTCTGGGAGAGGCCAGCAAGTAGCCTAGGAGAGGCATTGGCCAGGCTGGCATGGGTCTACCTGACCACAGCTCAGCTCATACCCAGACTGACAGCATTTTCTTTTTTTTTTGAGATGGAGTTTCGCCCTTGTTGCCCAGGCTGGAGTGCAATGGTGCTATCTTGGCTCATGGTAACCTCTGCCTCCCGGGTTCAAGCGATTCTCCTGCCTCAGCCTCCCAGTAGCTGGGATTACATCTGCTCACCACCACACCCATGTAATTTTTTTGTATTTTTAGTAGAGATAGGGTTTCACCACGTTGGCCAGGCTAGTCTCGAACTCCTGACCTGAAGTGATCCGCCCGCCTCAGCCTCCCAAAGTGCTGGGATTACAGGCGTGAGCCACTGTGCCCAGCCGACACTGATAGGATTAAGAGGCTCTGGAGCTACAGAGGATGGGCATAGGGTAGGGGGAGATTTGGGGCACCAGGGGCCAGGAGAGGCTAACTGGAGAAGTAGCAGGGCCCCAGAAGTCATGGGGAGACAGGGGAAGGCTTGTGCAGGGGAGGGGGCTCCCACGGCTGTATCCATCATTGACCCCACAATCAAGAACTGAGAGGGCAAGGCAGGCACTGGGTGCCACGCACATCCTCACTAACTTGTGGCTGGCAGGAAGTAAGCTGTCCCAGTTAGACTGCATGTGGAGGGGGAGTCACAATATCACCCCCAAAAAGAGCTTCCTATTGTTTCCCTCTCCTGAAGGAGTGTCTGCTTCCACTCTGTCCATTTTCCAAATGTCTCCCGGTCAGTGACAGTTTCCAGATCCCTGTGTTGTCGGGCTTTTGGGTATGGTGTGTTTTAGGGTCTTCCCATCTTTCCCCCACATGTCTGTTGGGTGAGTAGATTTCTAGGCCCTGACCCGAAAATCCCTTCCTTGCAATGATCTCCAATGATTGTGAAAGTTTCTCTTTTGTCTTTTTTTTTTGAGACAGAGTCTCACGTAGGCTGGAGTGCAGCTGCACAATCTCAGCTCACTGCAACCTCCACCTCCCAGGTTCAATCAATCACCTGCCTCAGCCTCCTGAATAGCTGAGACTATAGGTGTGTGTCACCATGCCCAGCTAATTTTTATTTTATTTATTTATTTATTGACTGAGTCTTGCTCTGTCACCCAGGCTGGAGTGCAGTGGCGGGATCTTGGCTCACTGCAACCTCCGCCTGCTGGGTTCGAGTGATTCTCTTGCCTCAGCCTCCTGAGAGCTGGGACTACAGGTGCATGCCACCACGCCTGACTAATTTTTTGTATTTTTGGTAGAAACGGGGCTTCACTGTGTTAGCCAGGATGGTCTTGCTCTCCTGACCTTGTTATCTGCCCACCTCAGCCTCCCAAAGTGCTGGGATTACAGGCATAAGCCACTATGCCTGGACAATTGTTATATTTTTAGCTCAAAATTTTTAGACAATTTTTGTATTTTTTGTATTATTTTGCGTTTTAGAGATGAGGTTTTGCCAGGTTGGCAGGCTGGTCTCGAACCCCCGACCTCAAGTGATCCGCTCACCTTGGCCTTCCAAAGTGCTGGGATTACAGGCATGAGCCACCACGCCCTGGACAATTGTGAAGGTTTCTAGGACCCCCACATTAATCATGAGATTTTTGGGTGTGTGGTTTCTAGTTCCCCCTTATGTCCCTCCCACTTCTCATTTACTCTGTCTCATGTGTATGTGAGAGCTTCTGGCTTCTCTTCTCATTCCTCATGGGTCTCCCACGTATGTGATGGTGACTAGGACCCTGTGTAAACTATAGGTCCTTTAAGTATAGAGGAGTCTAGGTCACCTGGCCTCATTAACCACATCAAACGTGTACAGAGCGGTTTTGAGGTGTCTCTTCACAGGCTTTGTGAATTTCTGATGTGTATGGTGGTGTCTAGTTCCCCGTCCCTTTTACCATGTGGCTCCTACGTACCTCATCATTCCTAGGCCCCCTTCCTAGGTCCCCTGTCCCTTTGTCCTGTGTAGATATTGTCTTCATGCTTCCCTTTGTTCTGCAGACAAGGGAGCAAACGCCCAGCCATTGCTGAGAGGGGACTATGGTGGCAGGGGATGCAGTCTGGCCTGGGTCAGCCCAAATCGCCCAGAAGAAACAGGCAGAGCCACCCTGGGCTAGAAAGGCCACAGAGGGAAGGTGGAGAGAGGGACAGAGACTGAGACAGAGAACATGGGGTCTGCTGACAGGGCTGGCCCTGCCTGGTTGGGAGCAACAAGATGGGGGAGGGAGTTGGGGCTGAGAATCGCCAAGGCTTCTGCCCGGGATACCAGGCTGTAGTGGGGATGTAGATGGGGTGCCTCCTGGGGAGAAGGGGGCACCCCATCTACACCTAGGGCTGAGAAGGCAGGGAAAGGCCAGTGCCAGGACGGAGCTTACCCAGTGGCTCTTCTCACCAGGGTCTCCTTTGGGACCAGGTTCCCCCTGCAAGGAAAGAGAAGAGACAGCAGCAGTGAGGAAGGGAAGGAGACAGAAAGGGAAGGAAAAAAAGAGGGAGGAAGAGGAGGGGGAAGGAGAGAAACTTAGAGAAACAGACAGAGAGTAGCTTGTGTTCGATACAAAGCAAAAACCAACTGCTTGAAGGCAACAGAAAGTAATAAAAAGCAGCCAGAAACTGGAGAATATTCAACCTTTAAAAGAAGAGAAAGGCACTCGGTAAAATCCATATATTTACAGCTTTTCCTCAGAAGATAGATACACCCCAGTCCCATTAGCCTGGCAAAACAGAGCTCAAGCAGCAAGTTTCAGCTTTACTGGCCTGAGGAATCAGAGGTTGAGGTTGTCAGAGAAGCAAGAAATTGATGAGAAATACTGGGAAGCAGGCAGCTACAAGTTGGGGAATTAAATCTGCACAAATGTTTCTTTCTAATGTATGGATGGTCCCTGAATTGCCCAATCACAGGGCAACACTCCAAAGAGCCCAGTGGGGGAGAACCAACAGATTGGCAGAACTGAGTAAAGATGTCAAAAATTGCCCACCATATAGGAGAAGGAGTTTAGAGTTCAAGTCCAATCAAGTTAGAGGTGCTTGTGAACACATAAGGCTTTCTAATGAAGCTCCAGAATGGCCATGCCTTAGGAATAAAGACCCTATCTCAGAATTAAGGGATTTTTCCTAGGACTAAGAGCAAAACCAAAGATTCTCTCTGATAAAGCCTGCAACTAAGCCTCTAAAAGAACAAGATGACCCATTAATAATTTAACTGTTCTAGAATAAAACTCAATACTTTTCAGAGGATAACAGAATTTAGAGTCTTTTCAATGGATTATTTATTTTGCCCAATGTGCAACAAAAAAATTACTAGACATGAAGACACAGGAAAATGTGATGCATATTCAAGAGAAAAATCAGTCAACAGAAATAGATCCACAGCCAACCTAGACATTAGAATTAGCAAAGGAGTTTAAAATATCTATGATTAATATGTTAAAGAATCTACTGAAATTCATATCATGGGTAACAAGATGGAGAATTTTAGTAAAGATGTATAAATTGTGAAAAAGAATCAAAGAATCAAATGGAAATCCTGGAAATGATAATACTGGAAATTAAAAATTATCAGATGAAATTAACATAAGATTGGACACAACACAAGAAGTAATCAATGAACTTGAACATAGGCCAATGGAATAATTTAAACTAAAGTACAGAGAGCGCCTATAATCCTAGCACTTCGGGAGGCCAAGATGGGCGGACAGCTTGAGGCCAGGAGTTTGAGGCCAACCTGAGCAACATAGCGAGACCTCATCTCTACTAAAAATGAAAAAACAAAGAACAAAACAAAAACCAAGCCAGGTATGGTGGTGTGCGCCTGTAGTCCCAGCTACTAGGGAGGCTGAGGTGGGAGGATTGCTTGAGCCCAGGACGTCAAAACTGCAGTGAGCTGTGATCACACCATTGCACTCTGGCCTGGGCAACAAAGCAAGACGCTGTCTCAAAAAAGTAAAATAAAGAAAAATAATGTACACAGAAACAAAGATTTTTTTTTAAAAAAACAGAACTTCAATGACTCATGGCAGAATATCAAATGTACCTGGAGTTCCAGAAGGACAGACAGGAGAGCAGAAACAGAAAAAAATGTTTGAGGAAATGTTGACCTTTTTTTTTTTTTTTTTTCTAAATTTGATTTAAAAACAAAGCAAAACAGACTTCAGGGTTCCAATCTGGCACATAAAGAGCTTATAAGTTGTCACTTCATCTTAACAACAAGTAGAAAGTTGGGAAAACTGAAAAATCAACAATTCTTCTTAGATCAGTTAGAGAAGTAAGACCATAGGCAAACCACTACCCCCAAAGCTAGAGAGGCAAATCCAGAGTATCACAACTTACTAATGCAGAAACCACAAGCACAAACCTCCAGAAGAACCAGGGCCAGGGTAGAAAAACCCAAACTGTAACTGATGAACTTCTGGAGCCTGAGTGTAGACAAGCCTTAGGGCTAAAAACTCCAGGGGGACCCAGTCATAGGCCCACATCTCTCCTTTGGTGAATTTTACCTCAAGGAGCTCTACAAGGCCCTCACAGTGGATATCAGAGAAAAATGCCCTTGTCCTTCCAGCAGGGAGAGGAGAAAAGGCACCATTTTAAAGTAGACCAAAGCATTCTGTTCTGAACAAAGCCTGCCTCAGGAGAAATGACTTTACCAGAGCCTAACCAACCTGGAGAAGGGGAAACACCCACTTCAAGCTCCCTCTAGTTTTCCATGTGAAGGAAGGGAAATATGCAACTCTAACACCCTCTAGACAACCTGTCCCACCTAAGGGGCAAAACAACCCCCAAACAAAACGAAGCAAAACAACAGCAACTGAGACACAACAGTGAAGTTCACAGTCCAAGAGCACAGGCTCACCTAAAGACTGGGATCTAGGCCGGGCACAGGGGCTCACACCTGTGCGGAGGTGGGTGGACTGCCTGAGCTCAGGAGTTTGAGACCAGCCTGGCCAACACGGTCAAACCTCGTCTCTACTAAAATACAAAAAATTAGCTGGGTGTGGTGACAGGCATTCATAGTTCCAGCTGCTTGGGAGGCTGGGGCACAAGAGTCACTTGAAACCAGGAGGTGGAGGTTGCAGTGAGCCAAGATCGAGCCACTGCACTCCAGTTCCTGGGCGACAAAGTAAGACTCTATCTCCAAAAAAAAAATACTGAGATCTAACCATAGGACTCCAGAACACTTCCCTCCCCCCCATACCTTCTCACTATATTACTAAAGGCCTATCTACTACAGTTATTTTGCACAGTACATTATGTCTGCTCTCCAGTGAAAAATCACAAGGCATACTAAAAGGCAAAAACACAGTTTTTTTTTTTTTTTGTTGTTTTTTTTTTTTTTTTTTTTTGAGACGGAGTCTCGCTCTTGTTACCCAGGCTGGAGTGCAATGGCGCGATCTCGGCTCACCGCAACCTCCGCCTCCTGGGTTCAGGCAATTCTCCTGCCTCAGCCTCCTGAGTAGCTGGGATTACAGGCACACACCACCATGCCCAGCTAATTTTTTGTATTTTTAGTAGAGACGGGGTTTCACCATGTTGACCAGGATGGTCTCGATCTCTTGACCTCGTGATCCACCCGCCTCGGCCTCCCAAAGTGCTGGGATTACAGGCTTGAGCCACCGCGCCCGGCCTAAAAAAAAAAACACAGTTTTAAGAGACTAAATGAACATCAGAACCAGGGTCAGATATGGCAGCAATGTTGGGATTATCAGGCTAGGAATTTTAAAAAATCTACGATTAACATGCCAAGGGAATTAATGGAAAAAGTAGACAATATGCAAGAAGAGATGGATTGTAAGCAGAGAAATGGAAATTCTAAGAAAGGGCTGGGCATAGTGGCTCATCTCTGTAATCCCAGCACTTTGGGAAGCTGAGGTGGGTAGATTGCTTAAGCTCAAGAGTTTGAGACCAGCCTGGGTAACACGGTAAAACCCTGCCTCTACATTAAAAAAATATATATATAGTAAAAAAAAAAAAAGATATTCTAAGAAAGAATAAAAAAGAAGTGGTAGAGATAAAAAGCACCGTCACGGAAATAAAGAATGCTTTTGATGGGCTTATTAGCAGACTGGACATGGCTGAAGAAAGAATCTCTAAGCCTGATGACAATGGAAACTTTCAAAACTGAAATGCAAAGAGAAAAAAGGCTGAAAAAACAGAAAAGAATATCCAAGAACTGTTGGACAACTACAAAATATGTAAATGTTTATAATGGAATACCAGAAGGAAAAAAGAGAAAGAAATAGCAGCAATATTTGGAGTAATAATGACAGATTTTCCCCCCTAAAAAAGTCAGACACCAAACCACATAACTAGGAAGATCAGGGAACACCACATAGGATAAATAGCAAAAAATGACACAAGTATATTATATTCAAACTTCAGAAAATCAGGCTGGGTGCAGTGGCTCACACCTGTAATCCCAGCAGTTTGGGAGGCCAAGGCAGGAGGATCACTAGAGGCCAGGAAGACCAGCCTGGGCAACATAGTGAGACCTTGTTTCTAAAATAAAAGATGAAAAAAATTAGCCAGGTGTGGCACATGCCAGTAGTCCCAGCTACTTGAGAGCCTGAGGTAGGAGGATCCCTGGAGCCCAGAAGTTCGAGGCTGCAGTGAGCTATGATTGCAGCAGTGTGCTCCAGGCTGGGGAACAGAGTGAGACTCTGTCTCTAACAATAATAATAATAATTTTTTTAAAACTTCAGAGAATCATAGATAAAAAAATACTGAAGAGAAAACAGAGGGAAAAAATACCTTTCTTACAGAGGAGCAAAAATAAGAATTACATTCAACTTCTCAGAAACCATGCAAGCAAGAGTGGAGAGTAATATACAAAGTATTGAAAGGAAGAAAACACATCAACATAGAGTTCTTTATCCTGAAGAATTATCCTTCACAAATGAAAGGGAAATGAAGACTCTCAGAGAAACAAAAAGTGAGGACATTTTTGTTAGCAGATCTGCCTTGTAGGAAGCATTAAAAGAAGTTCTTCAGTGGAGCACTTATTTTATTTTATGAAATAAAGTGTTGCCTGATTCTAGAATCACAAAGAAAGCCAACTGGGAAAAAATAAAAGTAGTTCTTCAGAGAGAACAAAAATTATATGTCAGAAACTCAGATTTTACATAAAGACAGGAGGAGCATGGCCAGGCACAGTGGTTCATGCTTGTAATCCCAGCACTCTGGGAGGCCGAGGTGGGTGGATCACCCGAGGTCAGGAGTTCAAGACCAGCCTGGCCAATATGGTGAAACCCCGTCTCTACTAAAAGTACAAAAAAAATTAGCTGGGCATGATGGTGTGCACCTGTAATCTCAGCTACTTGGGAGGCTGAAGCAGGAGAATTGCTTGAACTCAGGTGGTGAAGGTTGCAGTGAGCTGAGATTGTATCACTGGACTCCAGCCTGGGCGACAGAGCAAGACTCAATCTCAAAATAAATAAATAAATAAAAACAAAAACAAAAACAGGGCAGAAAAAGTGTGGCAGACAAAAATGAACAAAAACAAGGGCAACAAATAGAAAATAGTAAGAAATATGTTAGCTATTAAATTTAGTTATTTTTAATTTTATTTATTTATTTTTGAGATGGAGCCTCACTCTGTCACCCATGCTGGAGTGCAGTGGCACAATCTCTGTGCACTGCAACCTCTGGCTTCCAGGTTCAAGTGATTCTCCTGCCTTAGCCTCCTGAGTAGCTGGGATTACAGGAGTGCACCACCACCCCTGGCTAATTTTTGTGTTTTTACTAGAGATGGGGTTTTGCCATGTTGGCCAGGCTGGTCTTGAATTCCTGACCTCAGGTGATCCACCTGCCTCGGCCTCCCAAGGTGCTGGGATTACAAGTGTGAGCCATGGTGCACGGCCTATTTAGTTATTTTTTAGAGGCAGGGTCTGGTTCTGTCACTCAGGATGGAATGCAATAGAGCAATCATAGCTGTTACCTTGAAATCTTGGGCTCAAGCAATCCTCCCAGCTCAGCCTCTCAGGTAGCTGAATCTACAGGTGCACACTACCACGTCCAGCCAATTATTAAATTTGTTTTTTTTTTTGTTTTTTTTTTTTTTTTTTTTGGACGGGGGTTTCACTCTTGTTACCCAGGCTGGAGTGCAATGGCGCGATCTCGGCTCACCGCAACCTCCGCCTCCTGGGCTCAGGCAATTCTCCTGCCTCAGCCTCCTCAGTAGCTGGGATTACAGGCACGCGCCACCATGCCCAGCTAATGTTTTTGTATTTTTAGTAGAGACGGGGTTTCACCATGTTGACCAGGATGGTCTCGATCTCGTGACCTCGTGATCCACCCGCCTCGGCCTCCCAAAGTGCTGGGATTACAGGCTTGAGCCACCGCGCCCGGCATTTAAATTTGTTTTATAGAAACAGGATCTCATTTTGTTGCTCACTCTGGTCTCAAACTCCTGATCTCAAGTGATCATCCTGCCTTGGCCTCCTGAAATGTCGGAATTACAGGTGTGGGCCACTGTGCTGGGCCTCAATCATCACTCTTTCTTTATTTATTATTTATTTATGAGACGGAGTCTTGCTCTGTCGCCAGGCTGGAGTGCAGTGGTGTGATCTCAGCTCACTGCAACCTCTGCCTTCTGGGTTGAAGCGATTCTCTTTGTCTAATCCTCGAGAGTAGTTGGGATTACAGGTGCGTGCCACCATGCCCAGCTAATTTTTTGTATTTTTAGTAGACACAGGGTTTCACTGTGTTAGCCAGGATGGTCTCGATCTCATGACCTCGTGATCTGCCCGCCTCAGTCTCCCAAAGTGCTGGGATTATAGGCATTAGCCACCTCACCTCGCCAATAACCACTTTAAATGCCAATGGCCTAAATGCAGCAATTAAAAGATGAGGATCGTGGCAGCTTGGTGGCTAACGCCTATGTCCCAGCACTTTGGGAGGCAGAGGTGGGCAGATCAGGAGGTCAAGAGTTTGAGACCAGCCTTGCCAATATGGTGAAACCCTGTCTCTACTAGAAATACAAAAATTAGCCAGGGGTGGTAGTGCATGCCTGTAGTCCCAGCTACTTGGGAGGCTGAGGCAAGAGAATCGCTTGAACCTGGGAGGCAGAGGTTGCAGTGAGCCAAAATAGTGACACTGTACTCTAGCCTGGGTGACAGAGCAAGACTCCATCTCAAAAAAAAAAAAAAAAAAAAAAAAAGATGAGGATTGTTAGAATGAACCAAAAAACAAGACCCAACCATATGTTGTCTATAAGAAACTGACTTTAAATATAACCACAAAACAGATTAAATATAAAAACACAGAAATTAACTGGGCATGGTAGCACATGCCATAGTCCCGGCAACTCAGGAGGCTGAGGCATGAGGATCTCCTGAGCCAGGGAGGTTGAGGCTGCAGTGAGCTGTCATTGTACCACTGCACTCCAACCTGGGTGACAGAGAAAAACCATGAATCAAAGGAAAAAAAGTAATAGGATGAAAAAAGATACAGCATACTAATCAAAAGAAAGCAAGAATAGCTTTGATTCTAGAAAGATAATTAATTTTAGAAAGAGAAGATTTCAAGTCAGGCACAATGGCACATACCTGTAGCCCCAGATACTTGGGAGGCTGAGGCAGGAGGATCACTTAAGACATTTCATTCACTATGTGCCCAGGAGTTTGAGTCCAGCCTGGGCACATAGGGAAACCCTATCTCTAAAATAGAAAAAAGGAATCATAACAAATACTCAATCCAAAAGAAGACAAGAAAAGAAAAGGAAAAAAGAAACACAAACCAAAAGGAGTAAATAAAACATAAAGAGCAAGATGGTTAAAGAGAACCATACCAATAATTATACATATTATTAAATATAAATTAACAAACTGATTTTAAACAGCAAGACCTAAGTCATATGATGTATTTTTTTTACATTTAAAAACATTTACATACATATTTTTATATAGAGACAGGGTTTTGTCAAGTTGCCCAGGCTGGTCTTGAACTCCTGAGCTCAAGCGATCCACCTGCCTCAGCCTCCCAAAGTCTGGGATTACAGGCATGAGCCATCACACCTGTCCATAACGCACTTTGAAGTTACAGGTTGAAAGAAAAAGGATTTAAAAAAGATATAAAATGAAAATGCCAAGCATAAGAAAGCTGGTGTGCTATGTAAAAGCACACAAAGTAGATTCAAGACAAGCATTATCAGAGACAAGGGTATTAATTTCATAAAGATCAAATGACCAAGGGGACATTAAAATACTAAATGTGTATGCACCAAATCACAAAGACTCAATATACAGAAAGCAAAATTGACCAAATTAAAGAGAGAAATGAACAGATCTATGATCAGAATTAGAGAGTTAGAAAGTGAAAGAAATACAGAGTCAAAGAGACAGACATACAGAGGGAAAGACAGAGATACAGAGAAACAGAGAGCCAGAGCGAGAGAGACAGAGGCAGCCTGATCCAAAGAGGACTATGAGTCCCAGAGACAGGGAGCATCTGAAAATAGATGACAAGACTGGGAGGGTCAGGAGCTCTGGTGGCAGGGGATGGAGTCAGAGGAGGAGCGGGACTATGGAATCCTGCAGGGATGACTGCAGGACAGACAGCAACACTTACCCGCTGCCCAGCAGAGCCTTGGGGGCCAGGCTCCCCACGCAGTCCCTGTGTAGGAGGGAGCAGATGAATGGCATCAGCTGTTAGGGGCTCTGACCTGGGGCCCTCAGGACTCACCAGAATTCCCCCACCTGGGGCCACCTGGGTACTCACTCTCTCGCCCTTCTCTCCTGGGTGGCCAGAGATTCCTTTGGGTCCAGTGGGGCCTGGGGGTCCCTGAGCAACAAGACAGGGCCTCAGCCTTGTGTTGGGGCAGGATGGAGTGGGCAGGGACTTGGTGACAGAGGTGTTGGGGAGGGTGCTCTAGCTTTGTCTGGGACTCTGGGTTCTTCACCATACACTCAGCACACAGCAGGCAGTTCATACAGCTCAACGTTAAAAGATTTGACCCTGGAGTCGGACAGACCCACCCAAACTCACTGATGTTGCCACGTGCTGGCCACAGCCCTAGGGTAAGAACCGCCACTTTTCTTGGTCTTAGGCAATAACAATACGTGGTTCTCATTACTGATTGAATAAGATTTATGGAAGGTGGTTTACATATTAAGTGCTCAATAAATACTTGTTGAATGAATGAATGGAAGGATGAGTGGATGGATGGATAGATGGATACAAGGGTAGATGACGGACAGATGTATGTATATATGCATGTATGTATGTATGGATGGATGGAAAGATAGACAGACACATGGGTGAGAGTGCTTGGAGAACTACTCACTATGTGTCCAGGACTCCCAGGGACACCTGTGGGGCCAGGAGGCCCAGGGGGACCTGGAAAAAGATAGGATGTCCTAAGGGCCAGAACAAAGTACAATCTCAGGAAGTCCCCCATCAGCTCCCTCCTGATAGCCACAAACCCTATTCCCTCTGCCATCTACCAACTCCACCCCTCACCCCATGCCTGGACTCAACTTACCCATGGGCCCTGGGGGGCCTGGAGGCCCAGTGGGTCCCTGGGGCCAGTGGTTATTGGTCTCAGTGAAGGTGTTGGAGAGTAATGGGTCTCCTGGGTGAGCAAAGATGATGAGTGAGCAGTGCTGGGTAGAGTGGGTGGTTAGTCTTCACCTGCCACCTCTGCCAAGACAGCTTGGACTGTCCTATGGGGCAGCCTGCAGCATGGCTGGCACCACCTGGGCACCTGCTTCCAGGGTAGGACGTGCGGAGAGTGTTGGTCCCATAAGACCAAGAGGAAGGGAGATGTGGGTTCTAACCCCACTGTAATCTAGCTGGTGACATCCAGCAATACTTTCCACTTTTCTGACACTGTACTGTCACCTGTCAAATGGGAATGACAATAAAAGCTACCATTTATCCACCATCTATTGTGTGCCAGACTTCTGTACATGGGTGTGATGCAGCTCTGGGAGGCTGGCACTGTCATTATCCCCATTGTATGGATAGTGAGATGGAATGAATGCTGGGATGGGAGAATGAACAAGTGGTGTGCTGGGCTGTGCACCAAAGACACGATGGAGAAGAGGTGAAACCCAGCACTCCACACTCTGACCCCTGGTGGCGCATGTGCAGGTCAGGCCGGGCTGCCAAAGGGAAGAAGCGAAGGACGGGCATCAGGGCCTGGAGAAGGGACTGGGCCTGTGGCCTTGGGAGTTCAGGGCTCGCTTCCTGCTGCCAGGTCTCTCACTTCCCAGTGCTCTGAGAACTGGATTCCAGCCAGTTCCAAGGCTCGGGAGAGCCTGATACTGGTGGCTCTAAGCACAGGCTCTGGAGGCAGCCCCGGTTTGAAGCTGTTCTCCTACGCCTGGGCTGTGGGACCCTGGCAAGCCACCTCCCCTCTCTGGTTCTCAGTGTTCCCCATCTGTAAACACAGGAGGACAGGCGCCTGCTGGAGGACTGGGTCACACGTCGCCTACCATGAGCAGGGCTGGCACACAGAAGACTCCTGGCAGATAGTAGCAGGCACTGTGCTGATGTCTACTCCACCCCCACCTCCACCTGCTGGGACCCCAGGGGACTCACCATGCTGGGAGATCTGGGCATGGGAGGGCCCAACAGGGGCTGGGGGCCCAGGGGGACCAGGAGGCCCTGGTGGCCCGGGAGGTCCCCTCTCTCCAGGGGTGCCCACAGCTCCAGCCTGGCCAGGGCTCCCTGGGGGGCCCTGTGGACCTGTAATGGAATCACAGGGATTTATGGGTACACAGGAGGCAGGGAGGCCCAGGGTGGCCTTAAGGAACAGGATAAGGCAGCCTGGAACAGTTGGCAGCAGAGAGGGCCCCAGAGTCCACAGGCCTAAGCTCCTGGGTTGTCTAACAGGAGGATGAGCACAGTGCCCAGTCCTCCACCTCGTCCAGGCTGGGTCTTCCTTCTCTGGGGCTCCCAAACCCCCAAAACCCCTCATAGGAACCCTGGTCGCATGGGGTGAGCATTGTTGCTTCTGCGCAGCCCCGCTCCCAGCAGTATGGGAGCTCCAGGAGGCCACAGACATGTCTGACCCCACCAGTGCCCAGCTCAGAGCCTGCTAAGTGTAGGTGCCCAGGGAATGTGGATTGAGTGAACTTAAGAGAAGGTTTCATGAAGCCCAGGCATGGGCGGGGCAGTCTCTGGCGGGGTGTTGAATGAAGAGGCAAGCAGGCCATCCTGGCCATGTCAGGAGCAGGGAAGGGTCCACCTGGTGTGGGGGATGGTCAGAGGAGCTGTGGGGCAGTGTTGCGGTCACTCACCTGGTGGACCTCTCATCCCCATTGGGCCCCGGCTGCCAGCATCTCCCTTGGGGCCAATGGGCCCAGGCAGCCCCCGAGCACCGCCTTGGTCTGGGGGGTAAAGCATATCAGATTGGCAGCTCCAGATCTGCTCTTGACCCCCACCCTAGTCCCAGCCCCCAAACCAGCACCTACCATTTCGGGGAAGCAGCGGGACCCTCACACTCTCAATGGTTCCCGGCAGCCCTGGCATGGGGGGCGGTAGGCAGAGGTCAGTGTCCCTGCTGGGCCTGGAGGAGGGAGGCTCATCCAGAATCCCCACTCCCAGTTCCCCCCAACCTCCAAGCAGGGTCTGCTGAGGCTGCTTGGTCTCCAGGGACTGCAGCATTCAGGAGTCCCAGGAGATGATCCTCTTAGGCAGGTCTAAGAAATGGGAAATGGGGAGACTGAAGCCCACTAGAGGGTTGAGCTGGGAGTCAGCCACAGGGTGGGAACCAGAATCCCACTCCCGATTCCCAATCCAGTGCTCATTCCCATAGGGGAGTCTGACTCTGACACTCACCCCGGAGGCCTCCACCTCCGGGGCTGCCCTGGGCAGGAGGGGAGCCCCAGAGTGGGACAGGGTCCTTAGCGGTAGCTGGTGTTGGAGGCACTGGCTGCTCTGTGACAGTCAGCATGGCCACCTGGAGAGGAAGACAGGGATGGGGTGGGTACCAGGGTCTCACTAGGACCCCTCCCTACTCTTTTTTTTGTTTTTTTGAGATGGAGTTTTGCTCTGTTGCCCAGGCTAGAGTGCAGTGGTGCCATCATGGCTCATGCAGCCTCAACCACCTGGGCTTAAGCAATCCTTCTGCTTCAGCCTTCTGAGCAGCTGGGACCACAGGTGTGCACCATCACACCTGGTTAATTAAAAAACATTATTTGTGCTCACGCCTGTAATCCCAGCACTTCGGGAGGGTGAGGTGGGTGGATCACGAGGTCAAGAGATCGAGACCATCCTGGTCAACATGCTGAAGCTCCGTCTCTACTAAAAATACAAAAAATTAGCTGGGCATGGTGGCGTGCGCCTGTAATCCCAGCTACTCAGGAGGCTGAGGCAGGAAAATTGCTTGAACCCAGGAGGCGGAGGTTGCGGTGAGCGGAGATTGCGCCATTGCACCTCAGCCTGGGCAACAAGAGCGAAACTCCGTCTCAGAAAAAAAAAAAAAAAAATTATTTGTAGAGACAAGGTCTCGCTATGTTGCCCAGGCTGGTCTTGAACTCCTGGGCTCAAGCAATCATCTTGCCTCAGCCTCCCAAAGTGCTAGGATTATAGGCGCGAGCCAGGGTCTCCCTGGGGACAGGCCAGCTAAGGGGCCTGGTGTGGGGGGCAGGAGGCACATAACCAGTGAGGCCCAGCTGGGAGTGGAGCCCCAGGCTCACAGGGGCACAGAACTTCCTCAGAAGGAAAGTGTTTTTCAAAGTGCACAATTCATAGCATGCATTATGGAAAAGTCGTTGACATCATTATTGCCATCCAAGTTGAGCTTTGTGACTGTCACGGTGCTTGCTGGGCCACACAGTTTTTTTCCATGCTTATCTACATAAATAATAAGAAGCTTTTCTTGATTTGTTAAAGCACCACAGGGTATGGCTGGGAAGAGTTTCACTAAATTTTTTTTTCCCCCAAGACGGAGTCTTGCTCTGTTGCCCAGGCTGGAGTGCAGTGGCGTGATCTTGGCTCACTGTAACCTCCACCTCCTGCGTTCAAGCAATTCTCCTGCCTCAGCCTCCCAAGAAGCTGGCATGCACTACCATGCCTGGCTAACTTTTGTATTTTTGTAGAGACAGGGTTTCACCATGTTGGCCAGACTGGTCTTGAACTCCTGACCTGAAGGGATCTACCCATCTCAGCCTCCCAAAGTGCTGGGATTATAGGTGTGAGCCGCTGAACCTGGCCTTCCCTAAATTTGGAAGGAAGTTTGGAAGAGTCTGATGTGAAATAGAAACTTGGAGGCGTAACAAAGTCCACTTTTGGGGCCCATGGTGAGGAAGCTCTGGGAAGCTGGAGGTGTCCCCTCAGCTGCTGAGGACAAAGGAGAGACCAGATGACCACACACCAGGGGCTTGGGGATCGTGGGGGCCTGTCTAGAGAAAAGATGAAACTCTCTGGCAGACCTTGAACCAGGAACTCCCATCACCAAGTCCTATCATGTGGGACTGAGCTGCCTCTTACGTGCACTTCTCCTGGGAGGGAGCTCAACTGGGAGGGAGCTCTCCTGGGAGGGAACTGCTCCTGGAGCCCCGTGCCTTGTAACTCAGGTGCCAGTGCATGCTATTTGGAAGCTTGGTTTTCCCATTTGATAAATCAGGGCCATCTTTTTTAAATTTAGAGACAGGGTCTAGCTCTGCCATCCAGGCTAGAGTGCAGTGGTGCCATCACAGCTCACTGCAGCCTTGACCACCTGAGCTCAAGTGATCCTCCTGCTCAGCCTCTTGAACAGCTGGGACTCTGTGCCAGCCGTATGCCACTAAGTCCCGCTAAGTTTTTGTAGAGATGGGGTCTTACTATGTTGCCCAGGCTGGTCTCAGGCTCCAGGCCTCAAGCAATCCTCCTGTGTTGGCCTTCCAAAGTGCTGGGATTACAGGTGTGAGCCACCAAGCCCAGCCTAGAGAAATCTTTTCATGTTAGGCAAGGGAAGTATTTTAAATGGCTGCTGAATGTCCACCTAGTGAATTCTCCATAATCATGCAACCATACCTTCTGCTGCACAGTTTTCAAATTTCTCTATTGGTAAACATTTTTGCATCTGATAATCTCATTAAGATAAATAAATTCCCAGGCTGGGCATGGTGGCTCACACCTGTAATCTCAACACTCTGGGGGTCCAAGCAGGAGGAGTCCTTGAGGCCAGGAGTTCAAGACCAGTCTAGACAACATAGCAAGACCCTGCTCTGAAAAATTTTTTTAAAACTAGCCAGCTGTGGTGGCACACGCCTGTAGTGCCAGCTACTCAGGAGATTGAGGCAGGAGGCTAGCTTGAGCTCCAACTCACCGCAGATGGCAACACCTGCACTCCAGACCAGGTGACAAAGCAAGACCTTGTCTCTCAATCAAAACAAAATGAACAAACAAAAGATAAATTCCCAGAGAAGGGAATGAAAGAACAAAGAATAGGCACTAAAGTGTGTGCATGTCTATGTGTTTAGAAAATCTGGAAGAAAACATGTTTAAATGTCAACAGCTGCACTCTTTGAGGGCATGGGCAACTGCTGAGAATGGTTTGCTGGCTGTTCTTCCACATTTCTGTTTTTCATGTTTCTAAATTTAGAATGTTGTACCTTTTAATTTAATTTAATTATTATTATTTTTTTGAGACAGTCTCACTCTGTTGCCCAGGCTGGAATATAGTGGCACAATCTTGGCTCACTACAACCTCCGCCTCCCAGGTTCAAGTGATCCTCGTGCCTCAGCCTCCTGAGTAGCTGGGATTACAGGTGTGTGCTACCATGCCAGGCTAATTTTCATATTTTTAAAAGAGATAGGGTTACGCCATGTTGGCCAGGTTGGTCTCGAATTCCTGGCCTCAAGCAATCCGCCAACCTCGCCCTCCAAAAGTGTGGAGATTGTAGGTGTGAGCCACCACGCCCAGCTGTACTTTTTAAGTTTTTTAAAAAACTTTTACGGCCAATGCAGTGGCTCATGCCTGTAATCCCAGCACTTTGGGAGGCTAAGATAGCGAATCACTTGAGCTTAGGAGCTCGAGACCAGCCTGGGCAACATAGAGAAACTCCATCTCTACCAAAAATTAAAAAATTAGCCGGACGCGGTTTTGTTTACCTATGTCCCAGCTACTCAGGAGGCTGAGGTGGGAGGAGGATCACTTGAGCCCAAGAGGCATGGATTGCAGTGAGCTGAGACCTTGTCACTGCACTCCAGCCTGGGTGACAGAGCAAGACCCTGTTTCAAAAAAATAAAACAAAACCCAAAATACAAAACATTTTATCTTGAAAGAATATGACATGAGTGATATATGTTTTGTTTTTGAAACCAGGAAGATAGTATTATGGATGGGGGTGCGGGGGTACAGAAAGGGGATGGGTAGGAGATCCCAGCAGGATCTCTGGGCCGTGTCTGCTGATCTGGCTGGGAGGGTGATGCAGCCCCCTGGCCTCCTGGAGGAAGAACAGGCCAGGCTGGTGGTGACTTGCACTTCACATACACAGTCTTCACTGAGTGGATGCTAGTTTTCCCTCTGCTTTACAGATGGGGAAACTGAGGTACAATCTGTGAGCAGGCTTCCGAAGGAGGGACACTGGAGGAGACCAGGACATGCCTGGCAGGGGACGCTGCTCTTCGAGTCGGCTCAGAGCTGTCCTGTGGGTCCACTGAAGGTGTGAGCATGGGGTTCAGGGAAAGAGGCGGGGAGGGTTGGATGGTAGTTCCAGGCCTGGCCTGGGGCAGGGGGCCAGGAGGGAGCCGCTCACCCACCTTGGCCTCCAGCACCTTCAGCTGCTCCGTCAGCTCCGACACTTTGCTGCAGTTGACACAACCTGCGGGGAGGGAAGAAGCTGGGGCCAGGGCTGAGGGTCCTAGGCTTCCCCTCAGAGTCCTTAAGTCTCTGGGGGGTGGGATGGAGGGAAGAGTCAGATACCTGATGATCCCAATTCATGAGGAAGCTTTGAGAGGGGCTACAGGATCCAGGGGGACCTCACTCTGTGAGTTCTGTTTGGCGCTGGAGCCTCCAGAGTGGCCTGCTTCTCCCATAGCAGGACCCAACCCCTGGCAGCCTCTGGGTCCAAAATGACCCCTTTCCCAGAAGGTGAGGCACAAGATCCTGTTGCTTCCCACCTGGGCAGGGCTGGGACCAGGGATGGCCAGTTATGGGGACCGACCCAGCGCAGTTCAGAGGTGCCATCCTCTGAGCCTCCCTTGACCCACCGTCCAGCACCCCTGGGCCTCCTGGGTGAGACTCACAAGAATGACATGAGTCATTCATAGCAGCCCTGGCCAGTTACGAAGCTTCCCAGCTGCTGGCCCCCAGAAGTGCTGTGCCAGCAGTCTCTCCCTTCCTCATGCGAGTGTCACTCCTGTTTAAGCCTGAGGCCACAGCTCGGAGCAGGGAGGTGTGAGTGCCTAACAAGCACAACATCTGGGGTCTAGTCCTAGTGGTGCCCCCCAACTCCCAGCCGTGGGGCCTGGGGCAGGGCGGGGCAGGGAAGTCAGAGACCTTCAGCTTTCTCCTCTTTAAAATGCGGACAGTGGGGCCGGGCATGGTGGCTCATGCCTATAATCCCAGCACTTTGGGAGGCCGAGATGGCTGGATCATAAGGTCAGGAGCTCGAGACCAGACTGGCCAATATGGTGAAACCCCATCTCTACTAAAAATACAAAAATTAGCTAGGTGTGGTGGCAGGCACCTGTAATCCCAGCTACTCAGGAGGCTGAGGCAGCAGAATCGCTTGAACCCAGGAGGCAGAGGATGCAATGAGCCGAGATTGTGCCACTGTACTCCAGCCTGGGCGACAGAGGGACTCCGTCTCAAAAAAAAATAAAAGGTGGGGGACAATGGGAGGGCAGTGGACAGCTTTGAGGTCTACACGAGCTGCTGACGGAAAGCTCCTGGCACAGGGCCTTGCACACTGCTGACACACAGAAAAGTGCTGATTAAATAAAAAGAGGAAACCAGGGGACTGAACTGGCATCTGCAAGAGCCCAGGGGTCATGAGTCTTGGGGTGTCTGGGAGGACCCCTCTGGGGTCCTTTCTCTGCCCCTCAAAGCAGCTTTTGTAGCCTGGGGAGCATGGGGTGGGAGGCGGTTACCCTCCTTGACCCTCTACTGCCAGACCTGCTGGCTTGTAGGACAGTTACCAAACTGCCCTGAGCCCCCCCAGGGCTCCCTCAGCGCAGGGGACACCCCAGAAGCTGCCCCAGGACCCACCTGAGAAGGCTGTGGGCCGAAGTGCCATCCGCCGCATGGTACTGCCTGGCCACATGGGCTTCATGGAGCCAGAAGAACCTGCAACTGAGAAATGGAGGGTGAGAGCCCTGTTGGCGTGTGACCCTGGCCCCCCAGGCCCCTCTGCCCACCACTGTAGCCCCAGTAGGGATCCCTACTCCCCTCAGCACAGGACACAGAGGCCCAGAGAAGGACAGGCAATGTAACTGGGTCACACAGCATGAACCGGGCTGAGCTAGAGCAAGGCTGGCCAGCTGACAGGGCTGGAAGAGGGGCCAATGGGGCAGGAGCCATGGATGAGGCTGAGGGCTTCCCCAGTGACCCCAGCCAGCCTCATGGGCTAAGAGTTTAGAGCTCAGACAAGCCTGGGTCCGAGCCCTGACACTTACTGCCCTGAGTGACTTGTCCTCTCTGGACTTATTTTTCCCACCTGTAAAATGGGATTCTAAGGACTCTAAACCTTCCGGGCTGGTGTGAGGCCTGAGGTTGGCCATGTGTGCAAAGGGCCCGCTGTGCACACACAGTAGGTGCTCAATAAACAGCTGCCATGACTATTGCCATCCACACACTCTCTGCCTGGCTTGGTAAGAGGAGACTGAAGTGGATCCGGCCCTGGTTTTAAATGAAAACCAGAGGGAGGCTGGCTGCCTGGGAGGGCGAGGGGAGCCAGTTCCAGGGCCAGCCCCTGCTGCCATCCCTACCCAAGGAGGACCCCCCTCCCCAGCCACCCTGTCTGGTCCGGTTTTGGGGGCCTGGTTTTCTCCACAGCTGGAGGGATGGACTGGCCAAACCAGGGGCGGGGACACAGCTGGAGACACTACAGAGCTAGCACTGGCAACTGCCCCCCCGCAGCCTCCAGGCCTTCCTTTTAAGGCCACGAAATATTGTCTGGGGGGAGACAAGCCCCAAATAAGGCGCGGGCCTGGCAGCTCGGAGCGGGGCTGCGGGTTGATGCAGGGAGCGAGAGGCGCCGGGAACTCAAACCAGACGGGTCCCTCTGGCCAGCCCCCAGCGGAGGCTGCCAGGCCCAGCTCTGGGTCCCGTTGTGGGGCCTTTACGGAGCCTGCACCCCAGCACACCCTCCTCAAGGGCCTCCGACTTGCCCAGGCACAGGGGGCTAATCTCACCAGGATGGAGGAAGGTGGGTTGCCAGCCCAGGACTGGGGTCAGCACTGGGGGCTCCCTGGGGAGGGGAGACATCACTGTGAACCATGCCCATGTGAAGGACCCTGTAGAGCCTGGCTCAATCCTACAAGGAAGGTGAGAATCAGAACAGGTAACTCTTGTTTAGCATTTACCCCCGGGCTGGCAGCTTATGAGAACTTCACATACACAATCTTTTTTTTTTTCTCTTTTGAGGCAGTTTTTTTTTTTTTCTTTTGAGGCGAAGTTTTGTTCTTGTTGCTTGTCGCCCAGGCTGGAGTGCAGTGGCGCAATCTCTGCCCACTGCAACCTCCGCCTCCTGGGTTCAAGTGATTCTCCTGCCTCAGCCTGCCAAGTAGCTCGGATTATAGGTGCCTGCCACCATGCCCGGCTAATTTTCGTATTTTTAGTAGAGATGGGGTTTCACCATATTGGCCAGGCTAGTCTAGAACTCCTGACCTAAGGTGATCCACCCGCCTCGGCCTCCCAAAGTGCTGGGATTACAGGCATAAGCCACGCACCCGGCCTCACATACAATACACAGTCTTAACTGTGAGTGGGTGCTAGGATCATCTCCACTTTCCAGGTGGAAAACTGAGGCACAGGACAGCTGAGTGCTACCTCTTCTCTGTCCCCCATGCTCAGATAAAGGTGGATGACTGAATCACACTCAGCTCCACTTCCCCGCTTGGAGGAAAATGAGGCAGAGAAGAGAGGTGACTTGCCAACAGGTTGTCTGTGGGAAGGTCTCAGCCTGGATTTGAATCCAGGT